AATTAAGGCGACCGTTATATGCAAGTCCATTTTTTTATTAGTTCAAACCCACATAAAGGTATTTATTAGGTCAAACCCATAAATTAATTTATTTTTATTACATCAAGACCAAAGGGGACAAATATAACCTTATCCACAAATAATACCTAAATACAAATAAATCTTATTTTTTATTTGTACAAGACCAAAAAATAAAATAAAAACTCAAAAGAAAAATAAAAACCGCACAAGACTGCCGCACGACCACCACCAGACCACCGGCGGCGATCAGCAAGCCACCACCACCGCACCTCCACCACCAAACCATCTCCACCGCACCATCACCACCACCCCACCACCACCAACAAGTCCTTTTTACTAAACTTTTGTTTGTCAATTCAAAAACATTAATCGAGCATCGATTCTTGATAAATATGCGTGGATGAACATTAATATATGCTTACTTATTGTTGGGTTGCAATGCGTTAGCCGATTTTGGAAAAAAAAATGAGATTGCAATTGATTTTTTTGTGTGTTTTCGTTGTTTTCCCAAATCGGTTTATCCAGACCGATTTTGTACACGAAAATCGGCGTCACAATATCGATTTTTGTTAACAAAATCGGCGACACAACGCCGACTTCACAAGTCAAAATCGGCGTTGTAACACCGATTTTTTTTTATGATTTTTTTTTTTATTTGATTTTGAATTTAATTAAGGGTAAATTAGTATTTTTATGTTGGAGGTCTTGAACTAATAAAAAAATGGGCTTGCATATATTCGCCGCCTTTAATTAATTGTCAAAAACCTCTCTGTGTTATAAAAATTAACAAAGATCCCCTTATATTTTGTTTGGTATAACAAATCGCCCCTTATTCGCCATTTGACTGTTGCCTTAGCTAAATTGACAGTAATACCCCTAGTACATAAAACACAAATATGGCCAAAACACTAATTTGTTTTCAGTTTACATAAAAGTAAATTAAATTTTATTAATTAAATACCTTCTTCTTCCAACCATCTCTTCCATAGCCTCAAATGTATCTCGCAAGTTCGTTATCGGTAAAACGTCGACTCAATCGACGGAAAACAAAATGGTGCCCTCGCCGGAGCAATCGAACTCCAACGGTGCCGTTCGACATTTTCCCATTCAGTATTGTACCCCACCATGACCTTCTCTTCCCAATCAATTATCTTTTGTGTGCCACCATCTTCACCGAGGTCACCCCATTTGGAGCAGAATATAGTAAGAAGAGGAGCTGAATATCGTGAGAAGAAAAGAGTGTATCGGGATGTTGTGCTGCAAGGGAAAAAAAAAGTTTTCTGGGTAAAATTTCTGAAAATTTAAGTTGGAATTTTCGTTCTGAAATTTCAGGAAAAAGCTTAAAGCTCAGATTTCAAATTTTCGGCCCTTCCCTTGATTTGTTTTGATGTAGAAAAGAGCTTCGAGCTTAGAATGTTGGTTGGTTTTTTGCTGGAAAAAAACATGAAGAGTGAGTGATCTTCTAAGAATAAATTCCGACGGAAAAAAAAATCTGTCGGAAAAGCGTGCGGAAAAACGTATCATTTGGACAATTTCCGGCTAAGGCGCGCCATCGGGGCAGGATTTTGTGTGGGTTGTGCGTGAAAATGGTGGAGAGTTTAAACGAGAATCAGTTAATTTGGGGAGAGGGCGTTTTGAAATCGCCAATAACTGAATTGAAAATTCTAAAACTTTCATTTTGATGTAATGAAAATTTTGAGGTTAATATGTAATTTCAATTTTTTTATTTTAAGGGTATTTAGGTCTTTTCAAGTCAGAACACGCACCCCCAACCGCAGAATCCGCGAGTGCAGAATTGAGAACACGATCAACTGTTAGAGACTTTATTGGCTTTGACTAACTTTCATAGGAGAGTCCGTGCTTTTTTTTTTTAACAAAAATGGTTTCTCAACAATTAAAGTTTACACAAGGCTGGTTCTTGCAAAAAACCCTTATGAATAATCTAATACGGGAGTTTCTATGCAGTACGTGCAAAATTATTTGAAGTAATGCGTCGTACCCAGCCCAGTTTGAAATAACTCAGAGTCCCAAGATTAATATATTAGTATTAAAATATGGATAGATGAAAATCAAATATATTTTATATGAAAATCCTATGTTGTTTTATGATTAAATTCAATATGAACCCTTCTCGGTTTAAATCTTTGATTAAATTGTACGATTACGATTTGATTCAAGCATTTTATGATTCAATTCGCATTATTCATATGGTATATGAAATATTAAAAGAAAGAAACGTTATGGCAACCTAAGAAATCCTAATGACATATTCTTATTATATTATTTTATTTTATATTTTTCAACTTATTTTCTCTAATTTTCTTTCCTCATTTATTTAATGATCAATTTCATATTGTGACTATTAAGTTTTTACAATTTTTTTTTAATGAGTTTGTATTATTAAATTTGTATAAATGTTGATGCTATTACCGATATCACTAATAAATTTTATTATAATTACTAAATATAAATATCGAATGGTCAAGCAAATTCAAACTTTTATAACAAGATGCATTGCGTGTTGTTAAAAGTCCATTTTCATGTGGTATTGTAAATTGAAGGCATGTGAGAGGCATATGCCATTTTCCATCCAACTTAACTGCAAAAATAAACGGACCAATTGTGTCAAAAAATGGCATGATTAAGGACTAATATCGTAACTTCAAAATGTTAAGAGACAGTTTTGAGAAAATGGGTAAAGTATGAAAACGGAAAATATATGTTATGTTTGTTAGCATTTTCAAATTCTTTTCACACTTTCCCCATGATGAAAATTATTTTTCTACACTATTGTCAAAAACTTTCCCCAAAACAAATTCAAATATTTCTCTGTCTAACAAACATGATTTGACCGCTACAGTGAAAATTATCTTAACAAAAATACAAAATCAAATCACTTTATCTTTTAAATTCTTCTTCCAAAATACCTTTTTCCCAACACCTTTCAGACATGATTTGACTTGCTACAGTACAAATTGTCTCCTCCCAAAACACAAACAAACAAACTTCCAGGATTTATGCATTCCAAGTTTCTTGGAACAAAAATTAGAACCCATTTTTTACTTTAAAAAAAATATTTTTTTTTTGACAAAGTCATTTTCGAAACATTTTGACTCCGATTTCCACACTTCAATAGCCAATTTTTGAGGAAAACCCTAACAAGTTTCTCAAGCTTTCCAGGCCCATCAACACAACAATTTAAATCCTACCCAAATGATTAAGAGGGTGTTTGGCTAACCTTATAAGATGTTAAAAGAAGCTTATAAGATGTTTTAGAGCTTATAAGCCACTACAAGAATATATACTTTTTATAGCATATTATTATAGCGTTTATTTGTTAGATGCTATTGTTTCATCTTTAATTTTTTAATTGCTTAAAAAAAATGCTATAGTACCTTTTAATCTTCCAAAGTGTTTGGTAATTTTTTTTTAAAAGATCTTATTCTTTTTTTTAAATAAGCTGTTGGAGAGCAAATATGATCTTTTAAAAAAAGTACCTCTACCCCACCTTTTTATTTAAGATCTTATATTGAGTAAAAATAGGAAATAATCTCATTATCCAAACACTCTAAAAATTAATCCTAAAAATAAGATGTAACAGCTTATCAACTCTTAAAACATCTTATCAGACGTAAGAGCTTATCAACTGTTTAAAATAAGCTTAGCCAAACGCCCTAGCTCTAAAATTCGTATTCCATTCATCAATAAGTTAAACGTGCGATAACCATGGCTGTAGAACAAGATGAATCAGTTCACTTTCCACTCGAAATGATAAAAATCATCGTGCCAAAATTACCAGTTAAATCTCTTTTTCGATTCAAATCAGTTTCCAAGTCATGGAATACTATGATCTCCGATCCCACGTTCGTGAAGAATCATCTCCAAATATCGAAACATTCGAACCCGCATAATCTTTTCATGCAAAAGAATCCACACTCTAAAGGTTTTTTTCCTTTGGTTAAATTCGAAGACCGGAAGTTCCGAACCGTAAAATTACTAGAATGCCCCTGTGCCTGGGATAAGTTCTTGGCCTTCTGCGATGGCCTGCTACTTTTATCCGACATCTCTTACAAGAAATTAACGTTGTGGAATCCATCCACTCGACAAACCACAAAGTTTGAGTTCCCATATGCGCGTTCTTGTTATCCAATGAGTTACGGGCTTTTTCACGATCGAACCGTTGGCGATTTTAAGGTAGTTGTTATATGTAGGGACCACTACAAGGTTTATTCGTGCAACGACAAAGCATGGACGAGGAAGCGACGAATTCAAGGTATTGGTCTAGTACAGATTGGTTACGGAGTTTGTGTTGACGGGGTTGTCTATTGGGTTAATCGTTGGAGTAGTGACGGAACGCATATTTTATATTTCGATACGAAAGATGACGACGAGTTGAAGGTTTTGCGGAAACCGGAAAATGTTAACTTAACGGGCAAAATGATCGACTTGATTTGCTTGAGAGACAGCTTGTGCATGTGTTGCATTGGTAGAGGCGTGACGAATGTTCAAATCTGGATAAAGGGAAAGGGCTCTCGCAATAGTACGTGGAAGGAGTTGATGACTATTGAGAATGTGCAGACGCGGGCTTCTTGTTTCGAGCCACTACTGCATTTTGTCGGGAATAAGATTTTAATTGTATGGAAAGATTCAAAGTTAGTCGTCTACAACCCTTCTGAGAAGACGTTTGAAGAAGTTGACGATAGTGTGCTTTCCGGACGCGGATTTTTTCCGTATACGGAGAGTCTTTTCTTCCCCAATCAAAATAATTAAAGTTTTTTTTTTCTTTTTTTCTTTTATTTTCGAAAATGAGTTTGTAGTGGATTTAAGGGTCAATTTGTGTTTGTGAATCGAAAGTGGATTTATGAATGTGAACACTGAACACAAACCAGAGCAACCAAACTGACCCGTGTCCCAAATTAAAACTAATATAAAATATAGGACCTAATTGCAATATTTGAAAACTTCCATTAAAACAACCCTTAAATTAAACCTAAATCTGGCATGGCCAATTAAACCAAAATTCCAAACGCATGCCGCTCTGCAAACTCCAAAACCATGGCTGATAGTACATCATATCTTCCACCGGAAATCATAGAAAATATCCTGTTGAGGTTACCGGCTAAATCTCTTCTTCGATTCAAAGCAGTTTCAAAATCATGGAATACCGTTATCGCCGATCCTGTATTCGTCCAAAATCATATCCGACAATCCAAACACTCAAACTCCGACAACCTTTTTCTATGTCCCAACACGTATCCTATTCCTGTGGTTAAATTGGGAGATAAAAAAATCCAAACTTTACAAAGAATAGAATCCCGCTATGCCAGGTGGCCTGAACTATGCTTTTGTGATGGCGTGATTCTCTTAACCGACACTACATACATGAGGTTTGCGTTGTGGAATCCATCCACTCGAACGTCGAAAAACCTTTGGCACAAGTACAGCTGTCCGGACGCAGCTTTCGGGCTTTGTCGCGATCCAGCCACCGACGATTTTAAGGTTGTTATTGCTGATTTAGACTACTACTCGGTTTATTCTTGCTGGAACAAATCCTGGATCATGTTGAAAAAAAAATACGATACTAAATACACCGGTTTAGGTGTAAAAATCGGTAATAATAACATGGGAGTCTGCGTTGACGGGGCTAGCTATTGGCTTTGGAGTAACGACAACGCCACGCAAATAGAATTAGTGTATTTTGATCCGAGAGATGACGAGTTCAAGAATTTGCACATGCCGGAAAATATTGCCGATGCCAACCAAAAATTTACGTATGCGGTCGAATTGAAGGGATGCTTGTGCGTGTATTACAATGGTATGGACGAGTCCAGGATTCAAATTTGGACAAAGGAAAAGGGCATCGATGGTCATTCTTGGAAGGTGTTGATAACTGTTGAAAATGTGGGGATGTCAATTTGGGCTTTTCAGCCACTATGTTTCGTCGGAGATAAGATTGTAGTTTGGAAAAGAGGTCTTCTTCGTCGTGTATTACTAGTCTACATCCCTTCTGAGAAGAGGTTTGAAGAATTTGAAAAGAACACTGTTGGGATATTTGACTATCCAATTCCGTATATAGATAGCATTTTCTTCCCCACTGAGAAACCGAGACCTAAGACGAAGAGGGAGAGGAAGTTTTTGCAATAGGTTGATTAATAACGTTTTTGGTCGTGATTAAAAGTAATTCATGTTCGTTTTGCTTATTGATCTATGTTGCCCAATTCGGTCGTAACACGTGGATTAATAGCTATTTGAAGCCGCGTGTTATTTTGATTTTGATCTTTCTTCTAGTAATAGCTAACAAGTGTTTATGAATTTTGTTTCTAAAGTAAGCGAGCGTTTGGTTATATGCATGCACGAATTCTTGGTTTGCTTTGCTCGAATAGATACGTAGGATCTAAATTCAGTGTTAAAGATATATTTTAATTTTCCTATGCAGTCTTTTTCGGTTTACACCCCATGTGTATGTGTGCTTAATAGATTAGTTATTTATGTAGATCTACGGATAAAAACTACATGGCGTATTTTACCAGGTGTCGGATCTCATAAGCTGCCTCTTTCTGTGCACTCGTTTTTGTTTCGTTTAATGCTTTTGGTTGTAATTGTGATTCATGTTTGTTTTGCTTATTGAAATGTTTCTCAATCAAGTCTTAATTAGCTTTATTTTTCATGAGGATATGCATTGTGGCCTCAGATTGCTTCCATTTATTGATAGTCTATTATATTCTTCACAAACCTGAAAAAACCCGACTAAGTATAAAGTGCAATTCAAAATAGTTCTTATACATGAAAACTAAATAAATAAATACAAATAAAAACTATCTAAAAGCTAGGCAAATTAAAAAAAAAAAATTAAAAAAAAAATTAAAAATTGCACTTTATTATACTTCCATAATTATTTACATAATATTGACTTCGATGCCTCGTCGTTACAAATTCAATACTGAGCGATGATCATAACAAAACTACATCATCCGAGCCTTTTCTGGGGACATCGTTTTAATCATTTTGTTTGTTTATTTTAAAAAAACCATGACATAACTTTGAGGAAGAAAAAAAAAACCGTCTTTCAGCCGCATTCCAATTTTACGGTTCAACCAGCCAAACCAGACCGAGCAATGCAACAAATCGGGGTTTAACTGGTTCAACCGGCCGGTCCAGTACAAGATGCCAGAAATTATAAGAGAAAGTACAAATTGCACTTCACCCGCTATAAATTTCCTATTATGGCACTTTCCCCCCTAAAAACTCAGAAAAGAGATAACTCCCCTCGAAATATTGATTTGGTTGCAGTTTGCCCCAAATGTCAATTTTGTGTGGCATTGTGCAATAAAAATAACATTTTAAAGGGACAATCTGTAGAAAATTAGTGTTTTTAAGGGGCAACGTGCAACAAAAATAACATTTAAAGGGGTAACGTGCAAAAGAAAAAATTCAATTCCAGTTAATAATAATCCATTGAAATTTTGCTATCAGGACAATGTGCAACAAGTATAACATTTTGAAGGGGGACGTTCACTTTTTTCTTTAATTTTGAGGGGGTAAAGTGCAAAAAAAAAAATTATAGGGGGTGACATGCAATTTGCCCTAAAAGAAATAACAATTATAATAGGGTTGCTCTATCTAGAATTTCTCTCATTAAGGTTTGAGATCGTCCTACTAGGAAATGAAACTATCACAAAATATAACAAATACTCAATCAGGTTTGATTTGCCATTTTTCTGGTTATTGCATAGCTACCCCCGGCATGGGGTGTTTTCCGCAATTTTCGAAACTGCTGCAGGGAGTCAGCTGCTTGGGAGTGGAAACTCTGCTTATTTGCACTAACCCCCATCTGGGGTTCGTTCATCCAGCAACTTTAGAAATTCTAAAGTAAACATTAACGGATAATTAATGGGAATATACATTTCCGTTAACGGATAATTAACTGAAACTCTGCTTAAAGAACTATACACTAAAAGTTATTAAAAAATATAAAGTAAATATAAACATTTAGAAATTAACTTTTGTTTATTTTTTTTGTGTGGAGAGGGTTTGCTGTATTTTTTAGGGGTAGTTTAGTTATTTCATTTCAGTCAACGGGCTTTTTTTTAAATAACCTACATTATAAGGGGTATATGATAATTTTTTTTACACTGGTGCTTTTCCAGTAATTAGACATTTTACGGGGGTGTATACAATTACGTTTTGGCCAAGAATAAAAATAAAAACTGACATGTGCCCCAAATCAAAACTAGTTTAAACTATGGGACCTCATTGCAATTTGCGAAAACTTTGATTAAAATTTAGGGTTAAATACAAAAATACCCTGTACTATGAACTTTATATCATGTACCCCATACTATACATAAATACAAAACCACCCCTACTATTATATTTTCTCCAAAATATGACGATAATACCCATGTTAAAGCCTATGTATAAGGGATTTCTTGAGCCATTTTCCACTATATTTTTAAATATTTTCAGTCAATTTTACTTGGAAAATTTTGGTATTTATATTTTTTTCTCCAAAACATCTAATTGTTTAGATTTTTTTTTTAATTCTGAATAAAATATTTTATTTTTGTCATTTTCAGTTTCTTCATTTTTTTTCTTAAATGTCTTCCGATAGTTCAAACATCCTAAGATTACAAACAACTTTACGATCCTATGATCGTTGAGAATTTGAACTAGCGGAAGACATTTAAGAAAAAAATGAAAAAATTCAAATGACAAAAATAAAAGGTTTTTTTCGGAAAAAAAAATCTAAGCAATTAGATGTTTTGGGGAAAAAAGAAAAAATAACAAAATTTCTCAAGTAAAATTAACTGAAAATGTTAAAAAGATATAGTGAAAAATGACTCAAACAAACTCTTATATTTATAGGCTTTAGCCGGGGTATTTTCGTCAAATTTTGAATAAAATGTAACAACATGGATGATTTTGTATTTATGTATAGTACAGGGGTATATGATACAAAGTCTATAGTAAAGGTGTTTTTTGTTTTTGTATTGAACCCTAAAATTTAAAGCCGTACATATATTCCCTTCTAACCTAGATTTGCCGTAGCCAAAACCAACACACACTGCAACCCCATCGCCGGCGAAGCACCTCCCATGCAAACTCACGCGCCGCCCTACAAAAACTCCGAAACCATGGCTGATAATACATCATATCTTTCACCGGAAATCATAGAAAATATCCTGTCGAGATTACCGGCTAAATCTCTTCTTCGATTCAAATCAGTTTCGAAATCATGGAACACCATGATCGCCGATCCTGTATTCGTCCAAAATCATATCCGACAATCCAAACATTCAAACTCCGACAACCTTTTTCTATATCAGGATGCAGCGTTTTGTTCTTGCACCATATACAAATTGGGAGATCAAAAAATCCAAACTTCACAAGAAATAGAATCCCCCTACATCTCGTGGTATGAGCTATGCTTTTGCGACGGCGTGATTCTCTTAACCGACGGCACGTACCGGAGGTTCGTGTTGTGGAATCCATCCACTCGAACGTCGCGAAAGCTCTGGCACAAGTATCGCTGTCGCTACGCAGCTTTCGGGCTTTGTCGCGATCCGACCACCGACGATTTCAAGGTTGTTATTGTTGATAAAGACTACTACTCGGTTTATTCTTGCAGGAACAAATCATGGATCGCGTGCAGAAACGAATACAAAATCGAACACACTGGTTTAAGCATGTGCGCCGGTTGTAATATCGGGGGAGTCAGCGTCGATGGGGCTACCTATTGGGTTTTCAGGTGCCGGAATTCCATACGGATAGTGTATTATGATCCGAGAGACGACAAGTTCGAGTTTTTGCAAAAGCCGGAAGACGACGTAGTCAACGACAACAGATGGTTTTACGTGGTTGAACTGAGGGGACGCTTGTGCTTGTACTACAACAGTATAGACGACGAGTCCACTATTCAGATTTGGACAAAGGAAAAGGGCATTGATGGTAATTCTTGGAACAAGTTGATGACGGTTGAGAATCATGTGGAGATGTCGATTTGGGAGTTTCATCCGCTATGTTTCGTCGGAAATAAGATTGTGATTCTGAATAGAGATCTTCGTACATTACTCGTTTACGACCCTTGTAAGAAGAGGCTTGAAGATTTTGAAGAGGACACTGCGGAGATGTTCGGCTTTGTGTCGGTTTCAGTTCCGATTCCGTATGTAGATAGCCTTTTCTTCCACACTGAGACTCCGAGACCCAAGGCGAAGGGAAAGCTGAAGCGTTTACGGTAAGTGGATACGTAATGTTTTGGTTTTAATTTTTTACTTGTTATTCATGTTCGTTTTGCTTGTTGATCTATGATGCTTAATCCGGTCGATCGGAACACGTGGATTAATAGCATTTTAAAGACGCGGCCGGGATACGTTTTGATTTTGATATTTCCTATAGCAATAGCTAATAAGTGTTTATGCATTTTAGCAAACTGCAAAAGTTGGTATGTCCTGATTTGAAAGACAATGAGCGCTCATGAATGTTTTAATTTCCCTGTGCAGTCTCTCCGTATGCACGCGTTTTTGTTTCGTTTAATGTTTTGGTCGTAATTACTTGACATTAGGGTTTATTTGGGTTCTCTTCGGTTCAAATATAAATAAACGACAAAGGGCTCCATTTATTGGAAGATAAACCGACTAATCATTAACAAACTATATGAAGAATCAAGAAAATATTTGGGGAATTTGTTACTAAAACGAACTTCTAATTCATCAAAAAATGCATTAATGGCCGCCTAAAAGAGTTTCCGATATGATGTTCGTAAGTTTTGCGCCCAAAACACTGATATATTAAGAAGCTGTTTAACTGTCCTTGCTACATAATCATTCCGGCAGTATATCGATCGATCTTCTATATATTGCCTTAAACTATTTCGATTCACCTATAGCCCCGTTTACTTTTTTTTCCGTGGATTTTACCAACTATAAAAAAAACCAAAATAAAAAATGAGATAAGTTGAAGATATATGAAAATGCGATAATTTTGATTTTATAATATCACTATTTATAAGCAATTTTGAAACTGCAGTAATTCTTCAAGAACAAGAAAATCAAGTAAAATGTTTAATATTTGCAGCAATCATTTCTAAGCTACTAAAAATAAAAAAAAAAATTAAAAAAAAAAAGGAAAGATTCTTCAATTCACCAGCCTAGTCCTCATCATCTAATAACAGCAATACTCGGAGTCTCGTTTTTCTTCAAATTCCGATCGGCAGGCTTTCTAAAATACTTAACGACGTACATCGTATTCTTTTCATCATCGTCATCACGATCGGGCTCGTAAAACGTAACCACATCTCCAGCTTTCAAGTTATGAGCCCTAACGAACATTCCCCATCCTCCACCAATCTGGTAGTGTATGCTCCCCCCACTTCTGACCTTCGATAACACCATTGCGTATTTCCTATTGATTCCGTCGAACACAATCATGGTCTTCGAGTACGATTCCGGATCCTGGTTTTTAATATTCGGATCGCCGGATATTATTAACGCATCAACATGATCGAGTTGCAGTGTTGCGTTTTCCTTGATCACGTCGTACGCAGTTAGCGTCTTCGATAGGCATTCTTCTTCCGTTCGGTAGTAACTGCACATAGTGATTGATTAAGTAACCCTTTTAATTTTGTTCTAGGGTTTAAATGATAAAGAGCATGGAAGAGAGAGAGAGAGAGAGAGAGAGAGAGAGAGAGAGAGAGAGAGAGAGAGAGAGAGAGAGAGAGAGAGAGAGAGAGAGAGAGAGAGAGAGAGAAACCTGGCACCCGGGCCGGAAGGTTGCTCTAACGATGACAGTAGAATCTCGAAATCTTCATCGGAGTCGGAATCTGATCTATCGGGGGGTTCGCCGATCTTTGCTTTCCCTTTCTCTTTCCTCGACCGGCGTCGATAAGCAACACCATTACTTCTTTCAACCATTTTCTTGAAATTATTAATTAGTTCAAGATGATGATCAGTTGTTTGATTTTCTTCAAGAGTAGTGCTGATGTAATCTGATCGAGAAGAAACAGTTGCTTGATTTGAGTTTATAAACCGCCTTTCGGATTAATTGTGTACTTCTTATTCGCGTTCTTTAACTATCTATATATATATATATACACACACACACACACACTCAATCTACTTTTTTTATTTTATTAAATCAAAAAATTAAATAGTAGAAGCAGTGATTTGGCCAGGAAACGGCTCAATACATTTAAATTATGGTAAATTGCAACCGGCTCCTTGAGGTTAAGTGTGATTACAAAGAACCCCTTAATTTTGAGAAATTATATCAAGTCCCCTACAGTTTGTAAATTTCTTACATCCACCCCCTACAAAAGGGTGTAATGAAAGAAATCTATAAATTTCAAGGAGGTGAATGTAGTTATGAAAAAATGAGGGGTTCTTTTGGTAATAGACATTACCTTAGGGAGCGGTTGCAATTTTGCCTTTAGAATTAAAACCGTTTATACAGTTTTTCAAATATTTATGTTAAAACAAGCACCTTGAGCCTGATTCGGACGCAACAACAACTAACTGCATCTATCGCATACGCTCGTCTTTAAATAAACTCCATTTATAAAATTCAAAAACACGATTCTATAAAATGTTTATAATAAACTCCGTTGAGGTCATCATGGTGTACTTGCGTAATTAAACCGACACATGATCCATCGAGAGTACATAATTATAATTTGAAGAAAAGATCATGGGCCAAATACGACTAAGTACTAACGACTGAATTCTCTGCGAAATAGAACTTTCAATTAAAGTTAAGCAAAAATCGCAATAAATACATCAAAGCTAACATAATCCAAGAATAGTGTACAGACACCGATTTACTAACAAATGAAAAACACCACTGCAAAATCAGTTAAATAAAATATCAAATAGATTAAAAACAAATTACGAGGAAGCAAGACTAAAATGGAAGTCTATAAATTCATGGTTGCTTCGAGAGAGCTCCAGCAGCAAACAAAAGATTCCTCGGAGAGAACTGTGTTTTCAAGAAAACAATTCAATAATTAAGAATTGAGAGACAAAAGAAGAAGAAAAAGATGAACTTGCTAATGTTGTTACCTTTAGAGCATAAACGGGAGTCGATTTGGTAGGCAACGTCTTCAATGATCTTAGTCTATTCACACTTCCACTTTTGCTGGTAAAAAAAGAAAAAAAAAAAAAAAAAACAAATCCAATATTATTCCAAAATAATAATAGTAGTTAAAACTAAAATATCCAGTTTATATATTCAGGAAAACTTTGATAAACATACTTCTCTTCAGCTTTTGACACCTTTGAACTAGTGGCGACATCCCATATTTTTACAGTGCAATCGGCAGAACCAGAAGCAAGAAGTGAACCTTCACAACTGAAATAAGAATCGTCGACATTTCTCATCAATTCAAGGACTTCAATTACAACTACCTTTTACTTCTCGATCGGAAATTATATTTAAAAGAAAAACCTGAAAGAAAGTGACCAAATGCAAGAGCTGTGGCCAACCAAAGGGGAAATGCATCGACCAGTAGCAAGATCCCACATCATTATAGTACCATCTTCATCACCAGACGCCATGTAACGACCATCAGGCGACATTGCCAAAGATAAGATCATGCTTCTGTGACCAATGAAAATTCTTACGCACTCCCCACTCTGGACATCCCATAACCGAACTGTTTTGTCGCTAGATCCAGTTGCAACGTAATTGCAGTTTGCATGCCATTGTACACACTGAAACACAGAAAGTTAAAGACAATTTTATTACAGGTGAGGGAGTTTCTGTTATACATCAAAACCCATTCGACTAGTGGAGCTAGAATCAGGAACTCTTTTTCTACGTTTTGTCAATAAGTCACAAAATTAAGGTGTGAAATAATATGGTTAAGTAACTAGGAGAGAGCATCGCTTACATATGAAACGTGCACGCATTATGATACTTATATTATATACATCACATGCATGTATGGGACATATAGACCCACATCTGCACATCTACTGGCCCATTTAACTTCAAGGAGAACACACACAGAGAGACGAAGAGGAAGAGCGACGAAATTACTTACATCTACATCAGATAAATGGCCTGCCATTATTCTCAAAGGCTGTATTCTATCCACAGACCAGATCCTTGCAGTTCGATCATGTGAAGCACTAGCAAAATAGTGTCCCATTGGACTAAACTGCAATATAATAACCTGAGTCAGATACGAGGACAGGAAAATTTTGAGACAAGTAAAATACAAAATAAAACATTTGCAGAATGTACGGAAATGAAGTTCTACGTCAACTCTCTACCCCATGATAACGGCAAATTCTCTCTAATGCCAAAAACTTCTGCTTAAGTGATTATGCAGCTACTTTTCCTTTCACATCCTTTAATACAACAGTCACTCCTTCACATATACACTACAGTAGATTTGAGTGAAGAGCAGAGACCGAGTTCTACCTACCTAAGGTACAAATCTGGCTATTACCGGTGCACACAAATTTTTAGTTCGAATTTTATATGAGTTATAACCTTTCAGAATAAAAAAAATCTTTTTGATATTCCCTCATTTTGTTGTGTGCGTTTGTGTAAAATGTGTATAGGGTGGGAAGTGAAGTACGAGACTTCTGAAGTTCTTCACTGAAGCCCATTTACATACCTGCACATCCCACACGGGATAATTGTGACCCTTGTAGCATACAAGATTTGTATTCAACTTTGTGCTCCACAATCGAACTGCAATCAAAAGCCAGGTTTTACTAGTCAGTTAAAAAATCAGATAGAAAGAGAGAGGGAACAAATAGGGAGTAAAGTTAGATGTGAAACAAGGGCGTAAGCCGAAGCGAATCTTGAAAAGAAGTTTCTGCACTAAAGTTGTCAGCTAAACTTACTTGTTGAATCTGATGATGAAGACAAAAGAAAATCCCCAAACGGACTAAAAGTCGCTGAATGAACAGGACCAGCATGACCTCGAAATAATGTGTACGATTTTCCCCCAACATTTGAGCTAGACATATTCTGATTGGGGGTTAACTCACTTTCACCCTGCAAAGCTGGTATCACTCGAGTAAACAAACATTGTCGTTTCATACGAAATTACGAACATATGGATTTTCCATGACAACAATAGATGAATGTAGCTATCTTACAAATCATACTAAAAACCCATAATGTTATAAATGTAGTATAAAACCCCGCATGCTAACAGGCAAAAAAGTCAAATCCATACTACAGGCATGTAAGTAACCATACAGAAGACAAGCTCGTAACAGAACTTATCCCAAATCACGAGGCATGCCAAAATCACCAAAACGCCATCTGATTTCAGAGAAAAATGTGTACTCCACAAATAGTATAAAACAGGTGAAGGGAAATAAGAAATGACTTACAATTTTGACTTTGTTGCCCAAGCTTTGCCATGTCCCAAACCTGTCAGTTCTTATTTTTGAGTTATCAAACAACAAGCAATACTGAAATGAGATAACAAAAAATATAGAAAAGTAAACAACCTTTAACGATGAATCTGAAAAACCACCAGCTAATAGTGAACCATCATTAGATATTGATGCACAATTCAACCTGTGAGAGAGTAAAACAGCCAAAGATCACCAGAGATACAGAAAACATAAAGTGTACCAAACCATAAAATAATAAATATGAAAAAAAGCAAGAACGATTGTCTGAAAAGTATACCCATTATGTGTGTTGATAAAGGTATAGAAGCTTATAGAAGGCAATGCCGTGCTATTTAACTGCACACGATTCCTCAAGTCTTCAAGAATGGAATGCTCTACCTCAATTGGTCTAAGAAGAAAAGGGAAAATGATAAGCAAAACTTGCAACATAAAAAAATAGCAAAGAGATTTACCACAAGATAAATTAGCATCATCTCTTTCTAATGCAGACCATGTGCAGACGTGAGCATAAAAACAATTTTACAATTAGCAGATTTTGGGTCTCGGAACTACTAGAACAAAATACATGATTTGTTTTATGGTAGATACAGGTTGAATTATTTCGACGATTTTTTATGTGTTATTTGCTATGGGTCACTTGATCTTTTAACAACAGTTGCTCATAACAGAAATAATGGATCATCTATTAATTGCTTTATTGAATTCCTTCTAATTTTTACGGTAGGAGCACTGCTGATAGAACACTACATTACGTTGTAGGAATTCGACTTATCCCTTTCCTGCAAGACAACACTTTTTACATTCCCCTTAACTTTCAGCATCTATGTATGACTACCTATGTGGAAGAAGAAATGAAGAAGCATTAACCAAGGGTACTTTAGGAAATACATTACTGGTAAGGGTAGCTCCGGTTTGACACGCGGTGCTCCAGATACTGTGACATTGTCTGCACGAGAAGCTTTTGCTGTTGCATTGGAAACCTTGTCTTTTTTCAGCTTTTTAAGTGAATTGCCTTGCTTATTCCCATCAACAGATCTTTTCTGGACACAGAAAAAAGAATCATCAGAAACATTAGAACTCGAACTGAAATTTGCTATAGCGCTTCTGCACATCACAAAATGAAGTCACTGACCTTATTTTCTTCCAGGTCCCCTTCTCTCAGTTCTCCATCTCCCTTTTCTGAATCCATGTTCGAAGTCTTTTCCAACTTTTCTTCCAAAGAATCTTCAAGCAACTGAGATAGTATAACTGGTATAAGGATGCCTAGACAAGAGAATCCAACAAATATATATGCTTTCTCTGGAAAATGCGAGAAAATCACTATGACATATAAAGAATAAACCAATTGAAACAAGCAAAACCAGCTCTCAAGTTCCACCCTGCCCAACTACTTGAACTTCATCTAATACTGAAATACCAACTCTCCTACCAGATTTACACAAGCAAACACCTCATTTCCAAACCAGCAACTTAATGCAACCATATCTTGAGTAACTACTAGACATATAGTATAGGAACTAGCTCCACTTCGACTAGCAGTAGATAAAACTAGTAAAATAATATGCAGAAGATCCAACTAAGGAGCTTCTTCACATCGCAGACCAAATAGTTCTCAATAAAAGAAACATACCATTTTGCAACCAGAACATTTCTCATACACAGTAGCGGGACCACGTCATTTCTACTCACGGACAAATAAATACTTCAGAAGTCAATAGCAATTATAGATTCATAAATACTTAAGACTAAGCGTAGCTCTAATTCATTACTAAGAAACACTATCAACCACATCTTCGCCTTTTCGTTTTCTTTTGAAAGGTCTAATGCAAACATATCATTGCTTAATCATTACATCTGGAGGAACATTAGAGCAATATTCATTCTCCTAGACAATAACATGAAATCCAAAAACGAAAGACGACTCTGTGAACTTCAGATTCAAATGAAGAAAGATGTACTCATGAAGGAGATAAATGTGTAGTAGTTGACTAACCCCCCAGTGAATTTCCTTTTGATTTATAAGGTTAGCTGCATCCTGACCACTTCCAAAAAGCGAAACAAATTCAGCATCATCCGCAATTGAACTTGGTTGTCCAGGAGAAACTGTAAAATGCATTATTGGTTTAATATACCTTTGCGAAAATGCTAATGGACATACAGGAAAGTTAAAACATATGAAAAGCAATCACATTATTAGATTTAAACTTCAATAAGAATGCAAAATCGCACCATTAAAGTTGATGTGCTCATTGATGACGCCAATGATTGTAATAGATTGAGACTTGTGCAGGTATTGCATAAGTAGGTCGTACGAATACTGCAATGAATAAATGAAACAAGTAAGAATATACCCGGTAGGAATGTATATCCAATACGAACTATCTACATGAGAAGTAGTTTATACCATATGATAATTCCCATCAATACATACTGAAACAGTTAGTATATGTCTTAAGAACAGTACAGTTAATAGTTTGTGCCCAAGGATACAAAAGGAAACTCCAAATATGCAGTATCAAAGACTCAGGTCTAACCTGAGATGCATATACGGCATTGCTTTAGAAGTATTTTTCGGCGTGAAAGATATGAGTGTTTCAATAAACAAGCACAGCAGGCTCAACGGAAATATGTTTCGGTGTTTAGGGCATCACAAGATTTGTTATTCACATATGTAATATTGTTGGTTAAGGCAATTACAGCCATTACCCTTATTCTGGGTTATGCATACGGCAGTCATCGATAATACTTCTGGCTTATAGAAATCTTCTTGGAATCGAACACTAGGAATTGCACAATCATTACGAATATTCTGAGTTATTACCAGCTGTTGGCACATATTTTCCCTATGATACTAGTTTTCGGATACGTTGCATACCAATAAAAGAAACTACCTTTTTTATCATGCTTTCTTCACGGGATAGATCTCTCTCCAAAATTTCAAACTTCAAAGTGGTAAAAAGTGTCTTATCCATGGACGGTGACCTTTTTTTAATGACTTTTTACTTCTGAATCCTGCATTTATATCTAATGTAAAATTCCTCCCCTCCATTCCCCTTCTAGTAATTCTAAAGCTTCTTCAATAGCAATCATGCGAAATTAAGAATGCTGTTTTAACTCTACCATGCCTAGAAATATAACATAAGCATATGAAAACTACTACATTGGATATTCTGGACTGTCTCTATTATTAGGTTAGAAAACAGAATCAATCTGTTCCATTAAGGTTTACTTATCGTAACAGGATTTTCCATTTTCCAGTTGAATCACTCTCCATCGTGCAGCCTTTATGCTAAAAGCTTCGCAAATACTCACTTCTCAATACATCCTATACATGATTAAAATATAGTAACAAGAAACGGGATTTTTACTATCTAAGTACCTTGCATCGTTTTTTTTCCTAGTTACGAATTATCGATGTACTGTATGCAACTTCAGTATCTCATGATTGACGCGAAAAATATTATGCAATGTAAAGTAAACATAAATGAAGATAAATTACCTTGCATATCTTAATATTCACTTTGCTCTGCCTCAGGGAATGTGCAAATTCCATTTCCTACACAAACAAAGAAACTTTTACGCCAAATTGAGCTAGAATACATCAAATTAAAAGTTTGGATAATAATTATAGGACAGTGGTGGACCTCCAGATGCGAGGGAGAAAGAACGCCTTCCAGTTTTTGGAGATCGCGAGAATGTATCACATCATGGTCTCCTCGAAAGCTATTAAAAAAAGATCGAGCTGAAAAACAAAAGGCAATGGTTTAAGAGGTTCCAATTGTGAGAACACAAAACAAAGTGAAATCTTTAATACACTTACCTTCCTGAATATGACCCTTGGCCACAAGATCCATAAATCCATGGACAAATACTGGATACAACACGCGAACCAACTCGTGCTATATAGATAACAAAGGGAACATCTGAGTAACATAACATCTCAAAGCAAAGCAATAAAAAAGGATGTTCGTAAGCAGAGCAACTTAATACCTGGTATTGATCCAATGAACTATAAGCCCATGACCGAAGTTTACCATACCCTTCTTGATATTGTGCAGGACTGTCCACTCTGAATAAAAAAACATGAAATTTGAATGACTGATAGCACATTCCATTAAATACACAACAAGCAACAAGCAAAGCCGAAAAGTTACATGCATAATTAAAGGCTACTACCATATATTTCTATGCTGAAAAATCTAGCACTCCTCTCAGATAATAGTCAAACAAACACCAACAGAACAGATGAAATACAACAAAGCTAATCGAACCCCATGTTTTTCGCCCGAAAAACGAGAGTAAATTATGCATACATCAAAGTCAGGTCGAAATTTAGATAAGCTAAAAAGAGTTACTCAAAAGTGCCTGAAATTTTCTACATACTCAGAGAAGGCGAGGATTTGTTTGGCAATATCAGGATCAATTTGTGCGGTTGAAGAAGTGTTGCTGCCTTTGCTATTCTGCTGCTTCTCTTGCTGGAAAGCGAAGCCTGCTTGCTTGAATCCCCTTTTATCCAAATACGCTAGAACTACCTTGTCGATTTCTTCTTGGTCCATTCCGTCTCTTTCAATTCTATGTATTACAGGAAGTAAACCCTAAACCCCCTAAATATTAAGGTTGGCTTTCTCAAATTTGAGAAGCCAAAAACTGAAATTGCAAACTCGCTTCCGCAGAAACAGTTTAGAATTGCGCAATTCTCAATTTCACACAAAATTCACAAGCTAGATTTTTCCCCAGCAGAATTGCGAGCCCATTTTGTTGCTCGCCCCTTTTCAGAAAATCAAACTCCACTTCACAACAAGCTTAAACACTTCTTCTGTAAAACCTAATTTTATTTTTTTCAATTGAAAACAGAAACCAACAATAGAAGATAGATATTCAAACTGCCGGCGGTGGGGAACGCGACGGCGAAAGATGAAAGGTGGCGGGAGCGGCCGGAGCGGTAGAACGGAGGTGGGGTTGATTTAAAAATTAGATTAATTATTACTCTTTATTTTATTATATACATATATGTAAACATATGCAATCTGCTTAAAAACGTTTTCTGCAAAGACACGTTTTCTTTTATTTTTTTTCCTAATTTAATGAGGTAAGGGCATGTTTGGCTCAGCGGTTTAATGAGGTAACTTCAAAACCGATTTTTAAAAGTTCATGCATTAATAACCAAATACGCCCCTTATCAAATAGGACAAATACCACTTCACCCCCTATAAATTTCCTATTTTGGCACTTTTTTCCCTACGAATTTTTAAAAGAGATAACCCCTTGAAATATTGTTTTGGTTGCACTTTGCCTCAAAAGTTAACTTTCGATGGGCATCGTGCAACAAAAACAACATTTTAAAGGGGTAATGTGCAGAGAAATAATGTTTTGAAGGGGCAATGTGCAACAAAAATATATATAAAGGGGCATCGTGCAACAAAAACACTCAATTCCTGTTAACAATTCATCAGAATTTGTTCTATCGGAGCACTGTGCAACAAGTATAATATTTTGAAGGGGTACATTCACTTTTTCAAAACTCTCTTATTATTTTAGGGATGAAAATCGAAAAAGTCAATTGAAATTAGAACTTTTGAAAAGAAAAAGAAGGGGGCAACTATTTTGAATACTAATTTTTGCTTAGTTGAATACTACCTAGTTGAAAACCACAATTGAGTACATATTTTTAAGTTTTTTCTTACTTTAATACCAAAATAAAAATAAAAGTACAAAAATACCCTTTCATACAAAATACTAATTACATTAATTTTTCTTTGAAATTACCTATTTGAAAACCAAATAAAAAAAAAAGAAAAAAAAAATCAAACACAAAAACTCCCTCCGTCAACCTCACGCCGCCCGACGCCGCCGCCGCCGCCCAACCATCGCCGCCGCCGGACGCCGACGCCAAACACCGCCTAACGCCGCCCACGCCGCCCAACGTCGCCCAAAGCCGCCGCCGTCGTCTTCTTCGAATAGTAAGTTATAGTTGTTTCGATTTTTTTTTTCTTTAATATTTATTTAAGATTTGAATGTTTGATATGGGTAATTAGGATTTGGTTGTTTTAGGTTAGAATGATCGTTAATTAGTAATGGGTGCATCTGATTTCAGTCGATTTGAGCATTGATTTGAGATTCGTGGGTCGGTTCTTCGTTCTCCATTTTCGACCTGTACATGTCGAAAATGGTGAAAGGGTTGCTTTTGATTTTGTTATTTTCGACAGTTTACTGTCGAAAATGGGTTTCATTTTCGACAGCAACCTGTCGAAAATTCAATCCATTTTCGACAGTAAACTGTCGAAAATTACCCCATATTTCGACAGGTTTCTGTCGAATTTAAACTGTGAAAATTTTTTTTTTTTTTTTTTTTTTTTTTTTTTTTTTTTTCCTATTTTTATTTGCTTGTGTTTATATTATGTATATTAATTTTTATTTGTGTGTTATTTTGCAGTGGAAGAACCACGTCAACCTCGTATACCTCCGACTGTCTCGAACCGTAAAAAGAGGAAGGAATTATCCGATAAAGGCAAGGGCATACCTGTCACGACCAAGAAAAAGACCACGACCAAGAAGAAGTCTGGAGAGGGTTCTTCGTCAACGAATCCGGTGCCGGCTGTACATTCGACTGTACAAGTTGGTGATTCGAGCAATGAACCGGTCCTAGGTCCCGAGATACCGGAATTGTACACAAAATTTGATAAGCACATTGCTTATCATATTGTGAACGGAGGGCCAGATCGTTCGGAGCGCGGCTCAGAATTTCGAATACGAAATCACACAACAACTTTGAAAGGTTGGGAGCCGGCGCCGTTTATTAAAGATGTAGTACAAAGATGTGGTTTAATGTCAGTTGTACAGGCATCGTACAACACTGTGGACGGCCATCTACTTAGAGCCTTCGTAGAGAGATGGCAGCCAGCTACCAACACATTTCACTTACCTGTTGGAGAGATGACCATCACACTTGACGATGTGAGTTCGTTGGTCGGTTTGCCAGTTGTTGGGCGTACCGTATCTTGCGAGCGTTTGGTCCGTGATTCCAAAACCATTCCCAGTACTTTGATGTTCCAGTTGCTAGGTGAGTACCCGGACGATGTAAACAAGAAGAAAGCGGTCAAGTTGGAATGGTTGAAGGCTAAATTTAGCAAAGTGACCCTGAGAGATAGTGCAGAGAAGAGGACGTACGCCATTCGGGCGTATTTGTTATTTTTGCTCGGGTGTACTATACTGTGCGACAAGACAGGCAACATGGTAAGCGTTGAGTACCTAAATCTTGTAGCTGATTTGGATCGGATCGGCGAGTATGCTTGGGGCACTGCATGTCTTTGCCGGTTGTACGATGAGCTTTCCTCAGCCTCACAAAAATCAACGAACTCGATGGCTGGCTGGCTGACGCTCTTTCAGTCATGGATTTACGAGCACTTTCCTTATTTGGGGGGTGGCACATTGAAGACGGAATTCGAGGGGCCATTAGCGAGCCGATGGGAGCCTCAGTCAAAGACTACTTCAACGCCTGAACGAGCGTCGTACCTGCGATCTCGATTAGATGATTTGATCCCCGATCAGGTAACATACCACTTTAATAATCTGTTATTACTACTTAGGTTATATGTTTTACATCTAATTTTTTATTTAATATGTTTTACTTAGGTTATATGGTCACCGTATACGGCTATTCGTGATCGTTTCCCGATGCCAGATTCTGCTTGGTTTAGTGGGATGATATGTTGCATGGACCACTTCGAGGCATATCATCCGGACAGAGTCTTGAGGCAGTTCAACCGGGTGCAAATCATTCCAGGTCGTGCATACATGTCAAAAGATATGTACAAAGCTCTAGTTAGCAAAGGTCGACCGGTCCAGAACTCAATTTTCGTTGCGTACGGCGAACGATTCTCTGATCGGTGGGAGGAGTATTGTCTGGACGAGGAGTCGAGGTCCGTTGAAATTGAACTCGGGGAGGCGGACACTTCGCCGGACTACATGAATTGGTTCCGACCCAGATGCATGTTACAACTGAGTAGGCATGGAGCCCATCCTACTCGACCCCAGGCGGATCGACCTCGACCCCATGAAGCTCGTCCAGAGGGTGGTACCGATAAGGAGGTCCAACTTTCACAAATTTTGGAGTTGGTGAAGGGTACACTTAGCGAGGTACGGGGACTTGCGCCATCCGACGCTCATACGGTCATGTGGGGGACCCTAAATGATATTGTCAGATTGATCGAGCCGGATGCCCCACTTCCACCTCCTTCGAGGTCGTCGGATGCCCCACCACCACCACCTCCAGGTAGCTCGATAGGGCCACTTCCACCGCCATCGAGCTCGTCCGATGCCCCACAGGCGGTTGTGAAACGCGTGTTTAGTAGGAAGAAAAAAACACAGGATTAGTCTTGTATTTTTTTAGATGGATGTTGTTTTATGGATTTTATTTGTTTTACTTGCTTTTTAATTTAGTTTTATATGGATTTTGGTTGTTTGTAATGAAATTATTTTTGGTAATTTGAAATATATTTGGGATTAGTCTTGTATCAAATTATTTTTATCTTACATTGCAATATACTTGGGGTTAAATTCAAAAAAAAAAAAAAAAAAATTTACAAATTTTTCAAAAAAACCGGTACCAATAATCGGCGATAGGAGGTATTGGACAATTCTTGTTCAATACAACATGCACGAAGTGACAGTTGTCGACGAATGCCATACCGTGCTCTTGCCTCTCGCTGAAAAGCTTTGGATCGCTCGATAGGGGAAGGAACGTGAGACACTGATACTTGGATAAGTAGACAAGCACAATATTGTATGTTGAAGCAATTACATGACCCATATTTGGCAAAGACATCCAATGATCACGAGTTGCAGGAACATCCCAGTTACTCACAATAGCTTGCATGCTTCTAACGGTTTCTTCGCCACGGTGCATGGTCGTGTAAGTGGAAAAATTAGAAGTCAACTCCCGTAGCATGTCATCTCGCACTCGACCCCATTCATCTTCTCCAAATCCCATCATAGAGGCAACTGCCCGAAATCCACAGTGTCCATCTGAACCGACATTGATGATTTCTCGAACGTGCATACGAAATCGTGGATGGATCGTGTCAATGTACTTATTCTTGCCGATCAAACCTGGTGGCAATCCCACATCTGCATCTTCAAATAATGGTTTGACCGACTCTTGTGTCGGTATAGTGCTTTTTCCTGACTCTTGAGTTGGTATAGTGTTGAAAGAATCATTCGAATGCCCTCGTAATCTCATCAGTACAGGTATAAGCTGCAGTATATTACATTTCATTACTCAGCACAATTATAAAATACAATTTCAATGAAATGAGACGATAGTAGCGACATTTACCTTTGGAGAACAACTAGCTTGCTTCGATTTTTTTTTCTTTGGCTCCACATACTCAAAATGTGATTTGTCCCGAGTGCTTGATTTGTCTTTCCTACTTTTTGCCGGTCGACCTTTGCTAACAACTTTTTCACTTGGCTCCGTAAGGTTAGTCTTCTCTGGGTGGGTAAAATGTCTCAAATGGTTGCGCAATCGAGTTTTGGCATCGAGATCGGCACATTCAAAGAGCTTCTGGTATTCCGATAATTCTTCGTCGATGGTTGGTAGGATGACTTGGCCTGTGGTCGCGGCGGGCTCCATACTCATGTGTTTCCAATACGAGCCTATTAACTCAAGTGGGATAGGACATTTGTTCACAACAACATACTCATGAAGTTCATGGCGACATGGTAGACTGTGGGTTGTTCGGATGGCGCAACTACAACCCATATCGCTCGGTTGCAATAGTTTCGCATTGTCCACCTCAACTTTGAGTAGTTGTAGAGCGTATTTTGAGATACTTCCACGAAGCTCATTGTATATCAACGTTTTGAAAGTGTGCTCGTAAGTATTTTTACTTACTTCAAAGGAAGCCTTGATGTCATTGTGTTGTTCGACAATTTGATTGTGGACTTTCGTATACAAATCCACAAATGTGCCAGTTGAATTACGCACATCCCTTTTCATTCGTCCGTGTGCCCCCTCCACCCTATTAGAAGTGTACGTTCCAAAATGAGTATACTTATTTGTCCACACCGATACAAGTCTCTCCTTGTACGGATCCAACCATGAATTAGCTACATACTCTATAGCCGGGAGATAACCAATAAATGTTCTTTTCAAATCCTCCCAATCCTCATTGAACTCCTCTATGGTATTTCTTTCAATAAGAGCCGAAAAACTCGACTGAAATTGCTTCCATTTGGTGATGTCCTTTGGGAACAATTTCTTACAATTGGCCACTATATTCTTGTTCACATGCCACCGACACAGCAAGTGATGACTCGATGGATACACATTGGCCACTGCTTTCATTAAACCCAAATCTCGATCTGTTACAATGCAATTAGGCCGAGGACAACTGGTCATGGCCTCCTTCAAACAACGCAACGCCCATTCAAAATTTTCCGTCTTTTCGTGGTCCAAGTAAGCAAAGGCAATTGAGAACGTCTTGTTGGTACAAGTAAAACCCACAATCTCAAGAAATGGGAGTCCGTAACGATTGGTCTTGTACGTGCAATCGATGACGAATACGTACGGATACGACTGTGCCAACTTAATGCATTTCGGGTGGATCCAAAACAAGTCGGTAATCGCATTCAACTCGTTCGATCTATGGTACGAGAGGTATTCATCTTCTTTCAACTTGACAAACAATGATTGCAATTGAGATCTCCCATCCAATTCACTGAAATTTAACTTAGAGATAGTATTGTAAACTGTCTTCATACCAGTTACATTAGACGGGTCCTTTTGCTTCAATGCTCTTAGAATTTCCCTTGGTTTCACCATTGCTTTCTTCATAGTGTGAACAAAGGAAACATCCTCCTTTGATAATCTTCCGGCATAAGAGTGTCCGTGCAAGTTTTCGAATAAGTTGTGGTTGTGAATACCACAACTAACATCCAATTTCCACTCAGCCTTTTCATCATCCTTGTGTTCCCTTGTCCCCTTCAATTTAAACGGACAATTGCATTTCTTTGAACCGGTGCTCCTTTTTCCCGGTCTTTGATCATCTTCACCTGGTACCTTCTTGCCAACATAATGGCCCCCACGCTCACAACGAACAATCACATACGGTGTCCTACGTCCTCTATCCCCGTCACTCGAACCCCCAATCATTAACACCATTCCAATTCTTTTACATACTTCACGAACCCATGCCATTAAAGCTTCTTTTGTTGGGAATTTTTCGGACGTGGTAAATGAATGGGTGCAATCGATCTACACAAAAGAGTCGAAAATATAAGACAAGTAAATTTGCAACAGGAACAAATTCGACACTTAAGTTGTCGAATTATGATGCAATTTTCGACACTTAAGTGTCGAAAATTACCCTAGATTTCGACACTTAAGTGTCGAAATCTAAGGGTATTTTCGACACATACATGTCGAAAAATAGGTGTATTTTCGACCTGTATGTGTCGAAAATACATGGCGAGCTTAAAAAAAAAAAAAATTTCAAAATCGATGTTTTAGCTCAAAAAATACATGAATACATACCTGAATGGGTTCTCCTTGCTCGTAAACTACCATTCTATTGTCATTTGAGGCCATTTTGCAAGTTGTGTAAGGTTTTGATTTCTTTTGTTTTGGGGTTTTTTAGGAGGGTTTTTGGGGAGGGAGAAGAAGGAGGTGGAGGAGGTGAGGGGTTTGGGAGTGAGGAGGGAAATGTTTTTTTAGGTTTTTGATTATTTGGTTTTTAAGAAAGAAAAATAGTATTTGTAATATTATTTGGTTTTAATTTTCATTAAGGGTATTAAAGTAATTTCCAATTAATTATTTAATTTCTATTTTTTTGGTATTCAACTAAGCAAAAGTTAGTATTCAAAATAGTTGCCCCCGTATGCAAAAGGGAATTGTATGTAACAACACAAAATTCCAAAACCTCTTCGCGAACAAAAATCTCTACAAGCTCGAAAACCATGGCGGCAAACAACGTGAGCATGTCGAAGAAACAATATTACACATCGGATCTCCCGCTCGAAATCGTCGAAATTATCTTGTCGAAACTACCGATCGATTCTCTTCTTCGATTCAAAGCAGTTTCAAAGTCGTGGAATACTATGATCTCGGATCTTGTATTTGTCCAAAACCCTCGTAATATTTTTGTATGTAAGTCGCTGCGTAGTGGATTTTGTTCTCTTAAATTCGACGACGTACGTAGATTTTATTATTTTTTGGTTAAATTGCACGATCGAAGATTCCACGTTGTGGAAATATGGGATGCCGTAAGCAAGTCGTATGCTCTTGCGACGGCGTGTTACTAGTAGCCGACTATTTCAAGAGGAGGTATGTGTTGTCGAATCCGTCCACTCGAGCGGAGATAAAGCTTCGTTTCCCGTATAAATTCTCCAACAATTCAATATTTCATGGGCTTTGTCGTGATCCAACAAACGGCAATTTTAAGGTTGTTATTTTGACGCCGAAGTACTATGCGGTTTATTCTTGTACGAACAATTCTTGGACAGACAAGAAAGAATATCCATCTAACGGTCGTTTATTATTTAACAAACGAGAAGTCATTGTTAACGGGTCCACCTATTGGATTTGGAGGCGCGATAACAATGTCGAAGAAATTTTATATATTGATCCGAGAGACGATATGTTCAAGTTTATTAAGACGCCGAAAAATGTAGAACATGGGAAACGGATTTACGTGGTTTCTTTGAAAGGCTTTTTGTGCATGTATTGTTATGGAAGAGACGAGACGGAGGTTCGAATCTGGATTAAGGGAAAGGGTTTGGACAATAATTCTTGGAACGAGTTAATGACTGTCGAAAACGTTCGTGCATCTATTGATACGTTTAGACCACTGTGTTTCTTGGAGAATAAGATTGTAATTAGAGTCGAAGTTAAAGAAATAGCGGTTTACGACCCTTGCGAGAAGACGTTTGAAGTACTCAACGAGTGCAGATATTTTCATGACTTTGGATTAATTCCGTATACGGAAAGTCTCTTCTTCCCCCGACACGTTTTTCTGTGTAGAATTTAATTGGGCACGTGTTTAATGTGCCTTACGGATAGTTTCAACTAACTTCTTTTGATTCAGCTGAGATTGGTTTTTATCGATCTCTTTTATCTTTATTTGCTTCGATGATCAGGTTCATGTTTTAAGTCATCCGAACAAACATAGCCTCATGTTGCCTATTTTCTCCGTGTTGATTCTTCCTTGTTTATATCTTGTCGTCGCATAAAAAAAATTGGCTCGTTTGTTTCAATAACCAACGATAAAAGTTTCGATATTAAAAGAGACGATGGTGAAAAAACTATAACCTTAACTAGCAAAGAACACAAAATTAAGATTCGAGCATCGAACAACTTTGACCGTTTGGACAGATAGCGTAATAACAAACGAAAAGATGTTGCTTCGTAAAATCGAAAACTAAACATTTTTCCAAGACAACACGAACATGAATCAAGCCTCGAATCTATTACAAACATATGATTTTCCTCATAGGCCTGGTTTCTTGCATGGGGAAGAACATACCATGTACATACGGAACAAATTCATACTCATAACAACTCGCGTCGCCTTCAAATTCTTCAAACGTGTTCTTAAAAGGGTCGTAATTCACAAATCTCGTCGAATCCCGGAATCGAATCACAATCTTATTTTCCACAAAACACCGCGGCTTGAACCACCAAATTCGGTCAAGAACATTGTCAAAGGTTACCGACTCATTCCAACAATTATTGTCAATGCCGTTTTCCTTTGTCCAAATTCGAACCATATTCGTCTTCTTCTCGTCTTCTCCCCCAATCCAATAGTAAAGGCCCAAACACCCTCTCAAATTAACCAAGCGAATCGATTTGCTGACATCATCGACAACGACACCTTCCGGCATCCGCAGCATCTTCAACATATCATCTCTCGGATCAAAATACATTATTTCTTTAACCTTATTATACGAGCGCCTCCAAACCCAGTAGATAGCCCCGTTAACGTACACTCCCGGCGCGGAAGTGTCGGGTTTACCGCTGCCCGGGAATCCGTGCCTCTTCGTCCATGATCGGTTCCTACTCGAATAAACTACGTAGCGTTCCGTTTCCAGAGACAAGGCGACAACCTTAAAATTACGAGATGTTCGATCGTAACAGAGGCCGTAACTTTGTCGACCGGAACAAATATCCGGCGACCAAACATACGTCTCCGTTCGAGTGCACGGGTCCCATAACACGAGCCTCTTCTTGAGCGAGATGTTTGCCTCTACTAAGAGAAGCACGCAGCCACAAAAGGACATGACGTCATACTCGCCACAAGGGCCTTCCAGTAATTTCACAGGTTGAGATTCTGGATCTTGTGATTTAGCGAACGAGTTCGACTCGGATAGACTCGAGCAGAGGTGAGTTTGGATGAATAGTGGATCGGAGATGATGGTATACCATGATTTGGAGACTGTTTTGAATCTAAGGAGAGAGTTTGGTGGTAAGTTTGATAGGATTATTTGTATTATTTCTTGTGGAAGAACTGGTGTACCTCGTTTCAAGTGCTTCTTCGCTGCCATGGCTGTTGAGTTTCTAGGGTTTGGGTTTTTTTTTTTTTTTTGGCGCGTGGGGTTTTGTTTTACAGAATACGCAACTGTGGCAAATTACACAGAAATCCCTTGAGATAAGGTATAATTACGAAATTCCAATAATGTTTGTATAATTAGGAAAAAATTCCTTTAACTTGAGTTTGGGTGAAACATAAACTCGCAATTATATTTAATGATTTATTTATTTATATTTAATGTATTTTTTGGCAAAATAGATTTATTTATGGTTGGTTATTTTTTAATATTTCTATAGGGGTCATTAGCTGTACACCTCTCATGGTGATATGTACATACCATAATTCTTTCTCTGTGAAAACTCACTAGAATATTATTTGTTTTCAATCTTACCCTTTACTATCCATCACATCTTTTTTAATAATTATCCAGTATTTTCAAAATCCCTATTAATGAGGCATCTAATCCCGCTAATCAGGATTAATTAGGATAATTTATCTCAATTATTCCTTATTCTTTTTCTTTCCATAACAACAATCTAATTTCTAAAAATCTTCTTCCAAATTCCTATAAATTTGCTACCAAATAAAAAAAATTGAATTTTATTTTTTATTTTTTATTATTTCGTATTTTAATTTTATTATTACTTTTTATTATTTCTAATTATTTTTAATAAAAATATTTTTTTAAACAAAAAATTGAATTCTTTTTCTCGACTTGTTTACTATGCCGAATATGACTATAGTTGACTATACGTGACTATATCAACTATAGTCATATTCTTTCTAAATATTGCAATTTTTTACATTTTTAATTTAAAAATTTGATTGTATAGTGTGGTACAGTCATGTTTACCAAATTATATAAAACAACGAAGATTGCCTATTACTTACGAAAACAATCCAATCAACATTCACATAAAAAAATCATATTTGAATATAACAACAGTCATATTCAGATAATAGTCATATTCGAATATGACTAGTCATGTTACTGCTGCCAATTTAGATTTGGAGAAGAACAAAATATTCAAATATAATTATAGTCATTTTAATGCTGCTACTCCTAGTTTAGATCTAGAGGAAAAAAAAGAGAGAAAAATCTAAAAATACAGAAATAGAAATAGAAAGTTTTAGATTAGGAGAAGAAAAAAATTCGAATATGACTATAGTCATTTTAATGCTGCTAGTTTAGATCTGGAGGAAATTTTTTTTAAAAAAAATCAAAAAATACAGAAATTGAGATAGAAATATAACAAAAAAGAAAGATGGGGAGTCGACGACAACGGCGGTGGCGGCGATGGACAGATCAGGAAAAAAAAAATTGAGAAATCGATAGAGATAACGAAAAAGAAAGAAAAAACCTTACCTAGAGATGAAGGACGCGACAACGGCAACGAGCGGCGACGGTGTAGAGATCTATGTGAAGACGATGGTGGTGTAAAGAGAGAGAGAAGGTGTAGAGATCAGAGATCTATGTGAAGACTGAAATTTGGGTGAGTGGACATGTAAAAAGATTCTATTAGGTCCCGTAGAGAGATAGCAAAAACTCCACACTAGGCCGGCCCAACTAATTTCACCGAGCTTCGAACGAAGGAAATACTGAGCCTCACACCTGGTCATCGAGCGTCGGTCCCCATAGGAGATGACTGGATTTACGAGCCCACGCAACCGGGATGAGCAATCAATACTTAAGTTATAATTGATTATATATCCGCATTAAAGTACTAATAATTTCGATGTGGGACCGACAATTCATCTATTGATTACTTCAAAAGTGGCCGAAATTTATCCCATAAGCATTACCTATACGAATTCTGAGTTGGTTATTTTTCTATATGTTGCGAAGATATTCAAGAAAACAAAATCAATTCCCTAATTAATTAATTACATCCCTAATTAACACACGTGCGAGTGATATATAAATATATACACACAGCGGCACGTTGAGTCGTTGATGATTGATCTCCAAAACTATACGCCGCCAACAAAAACCCTAGAAAAACTCTACAGCCATGGCTGCAAAGCACCCAAAACGAAGTACATCATTTCTTCCACTAGAAATCATAGAAACTATCCTATTAAATTTACCCGTGGAATCTCTTCTTCGATTCAAAACAGTCTCGAAATCATGGTATACGATGATCTCCGATCCTGCATTCGTCGAAATCAGCTCCACCGATCGAAACTTCAAGCTCACGTATCTTCTT